TGTTCTCCTGCTACAGTTTCCTGTTCTCCTGCTAGTTTCCTGTTCTCTTTCTACAGTTTCATGTTCTCCTGCTAGTTTCCTGTTCTCCTGCTACACTTTCCTGTTCTCCTGCTACACTTTCATGTTCTCCTGCTAGTTTCCTGTTCTCCTGCTACACTTTCCTGTTCTCCTGCTACAGTTTCATGTTCTCCTGCTAGTTTCCTGTTCTCCTGCTACACTTTCCTGTTCTCCTGCTAGTTTCCTGTTCTACTGCTACACTTTCCTGTCCAGCTCTTTGTCTCTCTGCACTCCTGGTGGACACAGATCAGCACAGAGGAACTCACAACCACAAACTGGAAGTGAAGGATTTCCTCGGCCTTCAGCTGGACGTGTTCTGCCTCTTGGCCTCCAGCGCTGCTTCCAGCTCGCCGTCCTTCCAGCTCGCTGTCCTTTCAGTGTCGGCTGCTCTTCAGCTGAGTGCCTGAAGTTTGTCTGTGTAGCAGCAGGTGAGTTTAGGTCTGTTCTTTGTCAGACATGAACAGTTTGATCAAGATGTCAGCTCTTCAGCAGCATCCTTTAGTATCTTAAAGCCCCTTTCTCGCAGCAGTCTTTAGTTTTCCTCCTCCTTCTTCCTCTGTAGTCTTTGATGGGCCTCCTGAAGCTTTCCTACACTGCAGCTCCAGGTTCTGTTCCTGCTCCTCCACCTTCTTGCTGACTCTCAGCTTTGAGTCCGATCACCTGGACCCTCCGGCTCTGCTTCAGTTCAGCCGTTTTCCTCCACAGCTGCTGCTTGCTGCTACCGTGGAGTCTGTTGATCTCCTCGTCCTCAAAGAAGAAGAAGAAGAAGAAGCTGCTCCTCCTGCAGCTGTTTGATCTCCTGTTTGATCTCCTCCTGGAGTTGCTCATGCTCTGTCTTTTCCAATTTGTAGTGGATGATAAGGAATATATAGTTAGGAATAAATGGCTGACATACCCAACAAACAATAGTCAATAATAGTTAAAACTGCTGCAAGGTACATATGAATGGCTGAAACAGACAAATCTGCAAGATGCATCCAACACTTTGTCAGATGATAAGAAAAAAAAAAAGGTAAACATTTCTTGATAAAGTAAATAAACTAAGAGATGACTGGAGGACACAGCTGCTGTCTAAAAGTTGTCAATAATTGTGAAAATATAAGTAAACAATGCATTTCTTTCCCTCCATCGCTGCACCGCGCTGTGTCTCCAGCAGGTGTCGGCAGAGTGAAGCCCGGGGCTCGGTGTCGGTGAGTCCGGACTGGGGCAGCTGCTCCCGGAGGTTCTGTGTCTTTAAGGCCGGGTCCTGACGGCTCTCTCTGGGCTGACGGCTGCCACGCTGCGGCGCCTGCTCAGTGCTGCTGCTGCCGCCGCTGGATGAGGATCCTGAAGCCGGAGCTGCTCCGTGTGAACATCTGCTGGCCTGAGAGCGCGTCGCTGTGTGGATATGGAGTGACGGAGGGAGGCTTTGTTGTTGTCAGCCCGGTGCTCCTTTCTGCTGGAGCTGCACTTTCCCCGGAGAATGCCCACAAGAACCGGAGCTGTGCTGCTGCTGCACGGATAGCGCAGGAATACACCGGAGAACCACGGTAATCTTGTTTTATTCTCCACTGTTTTGTGCTCATTTTTTCCTGCTTTTGTTTATTATTCTCATTAGAATAAAAAAGAGCTCTCGCGTGAGGCTGAAGCATCGTCGCCAATCACAGCATCGCGAGTTCAGCCCACCGGGGGCTGCGGGTTTGTTTACCCCCCACAAAATGACACTTTGTGCGGGTATTAGGCTCCGGATCGTCGGTAACCGGGAGGAGACCGGGTCGGCATCCTGCCGCCGTCACCTCCCGGTGGTTCACGTCGGTCAGATGGAGACATGAAGGCAGCAGCGGCTCTCAGGCCTGCGGGGACACCGGAGCTGCTGCTGCTGCTGCAACAATACTGAAGTTATTCAGCTGAGCTCACAACAAAGCAGAGCAGCAGGATGTGTTAGATATGAATCACTGATCACAGGTAAAGATCCTGCATTGGAATTATTCCTTAAAAGCATGTGAATGGGACATTACTGGTGCAGTAAAAGTGCTCAGACTGCAGGAAAACAGACCTCATGAGTGTAACGTTATTCTATATATTATTAGATCATTATGACTCCTGAATTTATGTGTAAACAAAAAAAGACACGTTTTAACGGTTAAACATATATATATATATACTGTTATTTTGCAGACTATCCCTGTCCTGTTACAGACAATAATGAGAAAAATCAAAGAAAATAGTATGAATTTGCATGATAACACCAAAAACAAACCCTGTAAATAACATGCACATGAAGCATCTATGTTTTTACAAATGGTAACTTGGTATTTTACAAGCATAGCAATAACAATGTAGTCAACAAATCATATTATTATTCACTGTTATTCGAAAGAAAAATTCTGAATATGAAGGAAGGAAACATGGGGAATTATTTCTTGGCTGTTTTTGTACAGATTTTCCAGTTTCTGTTACATTAAAGATAGCAGCTATTAAAGTTCTTGACATGTTAAGTGTAAAAAAAAAAAGTGTAAGAAAAAGTATATGTAAATATTCTTTAAAAACTCTGAATGACGCTAATTTTACTGTATTGACATCATTTTAGATATTCGCTGTTATTTGACAGAAAAATTATGTATGTTAAACATTATGTACATAATTTCTTTTTACAGATTTTCACATTTTCGTTAATTTACAGCATGTACATGTCTAGTTTTTACAAAGCACTGTTTTGCATGTAGACTATAAAAGAAACAGTAAAAATTGTCAACATTTAAAAAACAATGTATTTTTATAATGGAAATTTGTTCTTTTACAACCTTGACAGAATAATTACACCATTTTTTACTGTATTTAAATCAGCAAAACAATTATTTTGCAGACATTTGCCATTATTTGGGGAAAAAAAAGATCAGTTCATAAATTAGTAGGCGATTAATGTTGACAACAAATTGATGAATCATTGCAGCTCCACTCAAATTCACATGAGTCGGCCATTATAGTAAAAAGTAGAAGTGCTCATTCTGCAGAAGAATTGTAAGTGTTGCATTATTTTAATCAAAATCAAATCAAATTAGGTTTATTGTCATTCTGCTGTAGTACAGGCAAGATGAGAGAGCGTTTCTTCAGGATCATTTAAGTTTTGTGGATGCACGTCTGGGATAAGACACTAAACGTTCATTCTCACTGCCTCCTGAAGGGGGCGCTGTGTCCATGTGTGCCGCCATTCGTCAAACATGGTGAACCTCTTCAGGTCCTGGTAGGTCTTCAGGGAGACCAAAGACACACATGATGGTGTGACGATGGTGAAGCTGCAGATGCTGCCCAGAGCTAGCTGTCTGTCTGTCTGGAATAATGTCGTCTCCTCCAGCTGTCTGTCCGTCTGGGATGTTGTCATGGAGCCATATTTCTGTTAAAGCAGACACTCAGCAGTCTTTCCACTCTCTGAGGGTTTTCTCTCAACAAATGTAGCTCGTCCAGTTTGTTGTGGAGGGAGTGGACATTGGAGAGTAGGAGGACGGTCCTGCTGGTCTGGAGGGGTTAGCCTTTAGTCTAGCATGGATCCTGGCTCTCTTCCTCCTCCTTTGTTTATGTTCATACCGTTTGCTCTTCCCTCTCTCTTGGGTAACTGCCGGCATAGTCGCCAATCGGACAAGACACTCAATATGTTCACTTTCACTGTCTCCTGAAGTGGCCGCTGCATTTATCCATGCCACCACCACCATGGCTTATATTTAATAACTTGATTATTGTTTCTCATGCATGTATGTGGAGACAGTGTTGCACTGTTGATGATCATTTTCATTTTTCGATTCATCTCCTCATTGTGTTTTTGAATCTTTCAATAAAAGCCCATCACAGTCACCCAGACCCAGAGGTGGACCACTGGCCAATCAAAGTAGGCACCAAACCACCAAGGGCTCTAACATCTCCAGATTCTCTCCGTGTTTATTGATTTTTAGTCATTTAATTATTTTGATTGACTCAGTTACAATATTTCCTAATGTGGGCTGCGACTACCGATTCTTGTCATTTTTGACAAAACCTCCAACTTTCAGTTTCATGTTTTTGAAGCATGAATTCATTTGAGTCGTTAACAGATGAGACTCAAGTGTTTCAAGGTCAAACGTCAAGCTTTTTAAAAGAAAATGTTGACAT